CAATCCCTGACAACAGACTTTCCCAGTGCCATTCGTCTTTTTATTTCCTGGCTGCTGGTACCAAGAGTGGAGCCAAGCAAACTAAAGTTGTTAACAATCTCAATCACTTCACTACCTATCATAATGCTGCCAATAGACCCAGTGGTGAGAATCACAGAAAGTGGAAGATGCACCTTAGTCCTCAAAGCGACATCCTTGCTCTTTATCACTTTAAAGAGGTCCTTGGCAGTAGGCTGTCCCAATGCAATATGGTGTTGGATTTCTTTTTTTTTTTTATGTTGGATTTCTTGGCCACTGTTTCCATAGGCATTGATTGTGGGTCCAATAGATTTAATTCACTGACAACTTAAATCTCTGTTTATCATGATGTTGCTTTTTTGCCCAGTTGTGAGGATTTTATTTTATTTATATGAAGATGTCATTCTTGTTGAAGGCTGTAGTCTCTGAGCTTCACTGTTGAGTGCTTCAAGTCCTCCTCATATTCGCCAACCAAGGCTGTGCTGCACGCATACCCTGGGGTGTGGTGAGGCTTTCTCCAGTCCGAATGTTGCGTTCTTCACCACAGCCCTTTTATTTTTCTATTATTTGCTCAGCACACAGACTGGACAGATAGGATGGGACCGGAAACCCTCCTGATTTTAAACCATGCGCCCACCGTGAGGGTGTCCAACCTCACCTGCTCTAGAAGCTAAGTGTGGCTAGCATGGTCAGGATCTGCATAGGAGGCTATCTGGCTGCACGAGGTCACCTTCCTGGAGAATGCCAGGGCTGTAGATGCCTCCAAAAATTCCGTTTCCATAAAATTCTGTCACCCGTCTGCTAGTCTGTGGTTCTGGCGTGGCTTGGTGCTGCTGGATGCTGGAGGCCACACCAGCAGTACTTCACATACCAGCAAGCTCGCCCATGGTGGACAGCTTCTTTGGCGCCTCCAGACTCAGACCAAGACAGACCAGGGAGAAGGGACCGGTTACTGACTTCCAAAACCCTCTTGGGTCATCATAACAGAAGGTGGATGTCGTGCTGGCAGCTGAGCCCCTTTGGGGGAAGGCACTCAAAATGCATGGTGGCCGCGAAAAATGTCCTTGGGCTGACTAGCCGGACAGGGAGGCTGACCCAGGCCCAGGCCCTGCTCTGCTGGGCATGAGTCGCCATCAGCCATAGCCCTTCTGCGACCCTGATGACAAGAAGAAAAGGTAAATGACTCCTGGTTGTTGTCAATGTCAACAAAACAATTTGTATGAATTTTGTAGTGGAAAAACTATTTTGCTCTGTAAATTTTCACTCAAATCACAATAAGAGTTAAACAAAATAAAGTGAAATGGTTCACATGTCACATACAATCTCCACGGGACAGTGCTGTTCAAAGGGGACAAAGAGAGGCCTTGCCCTCCCCACATCATCGGGACCAGGGCTTGGGCACCGCGTGGCAGTGGGAGCGTAGCGTTCAGTACGTTCACGGCCTGTGGAGCAGCATTCACCTCTGCTCTCTTCCTGTCCTAACAGATCCCAAGGTTGTCTGTTGGAAGCACAGCCAAGTGCAGACCGGTCCTGGCTGAGACCGTGTTCACGAAGGTGAACATTCACCGACTCGACCTACGAATCTAGAGTATCAGTGAATCGTGAAAGGCCCCTGGCAGCACAGGTGGGACTCTGCAGGCTCGGGGGAGCCCCAGCTTTGCTCCCTCATGGGTTCCTGGGAAGGGGGGGACAGTGGCCAGGTAAAGGTGTTACACAGAACCCACTTTCTAGGTCACCAGCGCTTTGTCCACTGCAACAAAGGAGCCCTGTGGATGGGCAGCTGTGGCATGCCAGTGTCCCATGTGGAGGATGGCCTGGCACACAGCGCACCCCAGCAGGGCAGCCCCACCATTTCCTGGAAGCGCTCTGAAACCTAGAAGTGCCGCACTTCCTGTCTGCTGCCGCTGCTGTTGTCCTCGTTGCTGTGATATGCAGGTGGCACCAGAGAGGGTGACTGAAGAGCTCCTTCCAGCCTTGCTACCTTACGTGAATTAGGTGGTGAGGCTGCAGGGAGCAGGACCGAGAGGACAGGAAGCTGTTCCAGCGTGGGCTGGGGACAAGGACACTGGCTTCAGCACAAACTCGGACCCTACAATGGTACTGACTTCCTCACCTGTGGTTAAAGTAATGAAGACACGGTCATAGTGATGAGTGTCTGAGATGGAGGTGCTGGTGGTGATGACAATGGTGCTGGTGAGAGCAGTGATGCTGGTGAAGGGCTGGTGATGTGCCGATCGGCAGAGTGGTTGTGAGGAAGGCGAGTGGAGGTGAGGATGGTGAGGACGGAGGTGGTAATGGAAGTGATGAAGAGGCTATGGTGGAGAAGACGCAGTGACGTTGGTGACTGTGGTGGTGATGAGGAGGCCACAGTGGAGATAATGATGAGTCCTAAAAAGCAATGATGCCCGTCTGGAGACTAAGGTGCATGTGATCCAGGCCATGGTCTTCACAACTACTTGTTATGCTTCAGAGAGCTGGACAATGGCTAAGGATGACAGAAGAATTAATGCCTTCAAGTTGTGGTGCTGGAGAAGAGTCTTGAACATACCATGGAAAGCCAAGAAAATAAATAGATCTGTCTTAGAGAGAGTGAAACCAAGTTTCTCTTTGGAGGTTAGGATTTTGAAGCTCTTTCTCACATACTTTGGGTACGTGGCCAAGAGGGACTGGTTCTTGGAGAGAGAAGGACATCATGCTTGGAAGGGTGGAGGCACAGCGCAGGAGGCAGGAGAGGAAGACCCCGGATGAGATGGATTGACACAGTAATTAAGGCAATGGGGGTTGGTGTGTCAGAATTAGTGAGACTGGCTCAGGACACGGCAGGGTTCAGAGCTGCTGTACACGGGGTTGCTATGGGTCGCAGACAACTTGATGACACATAACAACAACATAGTGATGCTGATAGTAATGATGACAGAATGGGGATGATGTGACAATTACGGGGACAGTGACAGTAGTGGTGTGGTAGCAGTGACGACTTGTCCGTTTGCCTCATGTTTTCCCAGGTTGAGGACTTGACATTACCCAAGCCCTTTAACCACGTCCCCTACATGTCCCCTGAGAGCTGTCTATTATCACGGAAACATCTCTTGTGGACAAGGAACCTGGGGCTTGCAGAGGTGCAGCTGCCCGGACGCCTCACAGCCAGATTCCAGCCTGGGCTGTCTGCCCGCAGCCATACCCTTCTTCCTAACAAGCCCAGACCTCAGCTTTGCTTCACTGGACCACTGGGCTCCATTCACGCTCGTAGTTTCCTGGGTCACCCTGTCTAAGAGGGGCAGCCTGGGGGGTGAGGGGTGTGTGAGAGAGAGACAGACAGAAAGCATGGAGAGAAATACCCCAGCTGCAGAGGGGACGACTCAGAAGGTGCTCTGCAGCGCCCCCTTATGGCCCTCACAGGAGTTGAGCCCAGTCACCTGAAGGGTGGTGGTTTGCTCACAGAAACAACCTTGACTGGTTTTTTTTTCTCTACATGTCTCACCGTCTTATATTCTTATCTCCTAGGACACCTTCAAAAATCAATTACTTCCCCCTATTCTTATCTCAGGGTCTGCTCCTGAGACACCCAAACTCAGAGCCTCGATGGGAGCTAGGTGCCAGGACAGATGGTGACTGCGTGGGCAGGGGGTCCACATCCATGGTGGTCTCCTGGGAGTTCTGACACCCTCAGGCCGGTTGCCCACCTTCTCCCCCAGCTCTGCTGGGGTCTGAACTGTCGCAGTGGCCTGTGGTTCCAGGAGGACGGGGGTTTGGCAGGTGACAAGAGGAAAACTAGAGGGGCTTGTTCAGGCTTGGAGGCCAGGCTTGGTGCCTGGTCACACCCACTCATCAGTTTATCGGTGGAGAGCAGGGGCTGGGCCCAACGGTCTCCACAGCCAGGTCTGAATGGTGGCTTGTGGTTAGGTCCGGCTGCTCTTCCTTCCTGAGGCCAGGGGTTTGCGTAGTTTCTGAATGTAAGCAGAGTGGGGACAGTGTTGCCAGGAGGGGCGCGGGCTCTCCCATCTGTAAGACTGTGAGCCTGCTATGCTATGGCAGTTGGCCTTAGGAAAAGGCAGTACCTGCAGGCCACATTTCTTGAAGCTCCTGAGTCCCACACAGCAGCCCAGCACACTATCAGAGTTCCCTCTTTAATGCAAATCCTTGCTGTCCAGGACAACTGACTCAGCTGACCCTGCATTGGGTCAGAAGCTGTACATCGCAAGAGATTGTCCATCTTTCTCGTGAGGAGTCCCGGTGGCTTCAAACCACTGGTGAGGTGTCACCTTTGGGCCAACAGTGCTGTATAAAGATACACTGCTGTCACTGACCACCCAGCTGGAGCCGTCTCATAGCTGACCCTGCAGGGGTTTTCAGAGGCAGTAAACGCACAGGAAATTGCCCATCCTTCTGCGAGCAGCTGTTAGCACAGCAAACTACACACAGGCTTGTATTTCACTCTGACCCCCTGATCGCTTTCTGTTCCCTTTGAGAAAAGGAAAGCTTTCTCATCTGAACTAGAATCGAACAGGCAGGGTATGACAGTAATGGGTAAGACCCTAGAGTACACGGAACACGCACAAGGATTCCTGGCCGGGAGAACCAGCTAGGGCTGCACACCGCTCTGGCCGAGGACCTAGTGTCCGAGCGAGGTGTGCTGTGACGTACGCCCGGGTCTGGAAGGCTGCACAGAGCAGAGCCCGGAGGGCTGCGGGGGAGCTGGACAAGACCTAAGCGGCCGCGACCCCGCCCCGCACGCGCCCCGCCGGCCTCCGCCCGCGCGCACCGCATTCGCGTCCCCGCAACCCCGGAAAGGGCGTGACCGCGCAGGGGCGTGGCCTGCCCGACAGGGGCGGGCCAGTTTGCCGGGGGCGTGGCCTGCGCCGGACGGCAGCGCGTCGGGGCGTGGCCTGTGCCGGGCGCCAGCGCGTCGGGGGCGTGGCCGGAAGCCCGCGGAAAAGCGCGGGAAGAGCGGCCCGAAAAGCTGCTTCCGAACTCCGGCCGCCATGGCGCAGCGCCGCCTCACAGACTTCTTCGCGCGCCGCCGCAGCGGGCCCCCGGCCGTCC